ACATAAGAAGGTGGGACTGATTTTACATTAACCAGGGAGTGAAAAAGTGTCCCCGGAAGGAGTGGCATTTAAGTCTGGCCTTGAGGAATGAGTAAACTCAGGCAGGTGAAGGGAGCTGAAGGAGTATTGCTGGCAAAGGGAATAGCATGTGGGAAGGCTGTGATCGAGGGCAGTCATTTGAAGGCCATGAGGACATGGAAGACAAGCCAGGCTGTGTTTCAGGAAGTCTATTGTGAAAGCCCTGATGGGTTGGGGTTTGGGGCAGAGGGTCAGACTGAGGTATTAATAGTTAGGTGGCTACCTCGGTGGTCTGGGCAGAAGATAGCAGCAGATGGACTAGGATGGTGACCTGGGAAATATGCAGATGGACTTGAGATGTGTCTAGGAAATAAAATCAAATAAAAGAATGAGGTGATTGGGTAGAGGAACCAAGACGCTGACATAGGTAAACACCGATACTCACTGCCTCCCACAACCATTTCAAAATCACAATGAAATTACAAAACAACCATTATTCAGAACTGCCTGAAAGCTGGCTGAATGGAAGTGTTACAATTAGAGAAGTAAAAAAGACAGCACATTGAGACTGATAGGAGGGATGGAAGCAGAACAGGCTGTTCATACATACACATGTGCCTTTTTTAAAAATTGCAAGAAATATCTTGGCTGCAGGGGCACCCCTGTGAGGAGTAAGGGTCCCAGCCCTATATCAGGCACCCAGTGCAAGGTTCCAGAGCTGGTAAGAGAAGCCCCATAACTTCAGGCTGTAAAAACCAGTAGGGATTGTGGTTGAGAGACACGGAGACCCAGAGACCTCCTTTTAAAAGGTCAGAGCATGAATTTACTTGGACTTAATCCCTCTGAGCTCCAGTGCTGGGTGGCTTTGGAGGACTCTGGGACATACTGGGAGGAGTGTTGGCATGGTGGCAGGAACTCAGGGGTGGATTTCTCCCAGACAGGGAGTGCTTGCAGGTGTCATTTTTCCAGTGCTGGGACCTCCTCTCCCCCTCTACTCCTCTCCGCTGCCCCCACTCCTATCCCTGGTCTCAGAGCTGACTGGCAGCCATATCTGAGTTTCCATCAGCCTGGCTCACACTGTTTGCCCCCCACTGGTGATTCCCTGAGACCCCACCCCATCCAATTTGCAACCCCCCCCACCCCCCCAAGCTGTTTGCTGTAGCTTTTCCATATGAAGGGCCTGTCCTGGCTAAGGTTTCAGACTTTGCTAAAATCTCTCAAACAAGCAGCAACTGGTGTCAGGGTGCCCCAAACCTATCAATAAAAGGCCCAATACCCAGGACTAGCTCTAGCCTGCCTTGCTTCACATATTGGCCTCACCTGGGCACTTCATAAGCCCAATACAAGTAGCAGCCACCTACAGACTTCTCTGTAGCTCCTTCCAGGCAGCCCCAGGCAGTGTCTGACTTTGCACCTCCTAGAAGGCCTCAGACCCAGTGCACCTGGTGGATAGCTTCAGATCATACCAGGTTGCAACTCTACACATCCACAAGCAACACACCCAAGAGGCAGATTCAGTGAGCACCAGTGGTATCTCCTGCACAGCTGCTCTTCCACTGTAGTTGCAGCTGGTTCTCACAGCCAATTTGGCCTAAAGGTCAGTCCTTCCCAGTGATACCAACAGCAATCAAGGTTCAACTACAGGACTATGACACAGCCCACACAGGGGCACACCTACAGTGCCCAGTTCAGGTGACCCGAGAGGTTGAGCCTCTGGGCCCTAAAAAATACCTATTACACAAGGGCACTGTACTAGTTCCAAAAGACATAGCAGATCTACCTAATACATAGAAACAAACACAAATAAGAGGCCAAAATGTAGAGATAAGGAAATATGTCACAAATGAAAGCAAGCAAACTTCTGGATACAGAGTTCAAAACCATGGTTATAAGGTTAATCAAGAATCTTAATGAGAGCTTCAAGGAACTTAGTGAGACTTTTAAGGATCTTAGTAAGAATTTCAAAAAACATGAAAGGCATCAGTCAGAAATTAAGCATATACTACTGAAATAAAAAATAATTTACAGGAGTTAAACAGTCAAGTAGAGGATTCCGAGAATCAAATCAACAAGTTAGAATGTGAGGAAGGAAAAACCACCCAATCAGAAGTGCAAAAAGAAGGGAAAAAATTAAAAAATACATAAAGATAGTGTAAGGAGCCTCTGGAACAACTTGAAGACTACCAACGTTTGCATCATGGGGGTGCCAGAAGAAGAAGAGAAAGAGCTATTTGAAGATATAATGACAGAAAACTTCCCCTATCTGCTAAAAGAAATAGAGTTACAAGTCCATGAAGTGCAGAGAGTCCCAAACAAGAGGAACCCAAAGAAGCTCCACCAAGACACATCATAATTAAAATGTCAAGGGTAAAAGACAAAGAGAGACTATTAAAAGCAGCAAGAGAGCCGAAACCAGTTTGGCTCAGTGGTAGAGCGTCGGTCTGCAGACTGAAGGGTCCCGGGTTCGATTCCGGTCAAGGGCATGTACCTTGGTTGTGGGCATATCCCCAGTAGGGGGTGTGCAAGAAGTAGCTGATCGATGACTCTCTCTCATCGATGTTTCTAACTCTCTATCTCTCTCCCTTCCTCTCTGTACAAAATCAATAAAATATATTTAAAATAAAATAAAATAAAATGGCAATAAATACATATCTGTCACGTGGGAGGGCCCCGGGGCCTCTTGGTTCATGTGCTGTGCACTAACTCTTTCTTGGCCGTACATTTCCTGTACTAACTACCTCCAACTCCTCCTGGAATGAGATGGGGCATCCTCTCGTCCCCGTTCTCTCCCTCCTTTAAGGCCCAGAATGCTCTGCAGTCTGAAGAGATGGATGACATGGAGTGATCCAGGTTCGTAAATTCCAGCCAAGGCACTGGGAGAACGTGTACATAAGACCAGTTCAAATTTCCTGCAGGTTTGGGTCACAGCTTGGGAAGCAAACCACGGGCCAGCCTGAGAGTAACTACTCTCCCATCGGGTCTGCACATACCCCACTCTGGGGGACACGGCCCCACAAAGTGTCCCTTAGCTGAGTGCCTACCAGAAGCAGCTGACCCCCTGGTGCAGCAATTGAAGAGAGTTCAGAATCCAGCCAAACCCGAGGGCCATTCAGCTCCCAGCGACACCTCCGGCCCATTAGCTCTGCCAGTTAACAGCTCACTGAGAGGAGCTCTCACTTGCCATCACACCATAAAGCGCTGGGTGGGCGGGGCGGGTGACAGCCCCAGCTCAGCGAGCCTGGTCCAGACACCAGCCAGCTCAGAGCTTGTCAGCATCCGAGTGACAGCCCGTGCCCCATTGCCAGGCGACCAGGCCGGCTCCACACCCACCACTGTGCACACTGAATGAAGGCCAATCTAGGTGACGGTGACTTTAAAACAAACTGCCAGGAACTTCCTCTAGCACCTGACTCCTCACCACCGTCCGCATGTGGGGAGGTTGGGGCTCCTGACTTATAGATAAGCCTTACATTCTCCTTGTGACTGGGGCCGGGTGTCACCAGGGTGTACTCACGTCTCAGGGCCTCCCAGCCTCCCAGTGCTCTCGAGCCTCCCCTTCCCGACTGCCCGTCCCCACAGCCTGTGGCGCCTGCCCACTGCTGCTGGGAGCCCCTCAGGGCTTAGCTCAGTGCACCCCCAATCAGTGGAAATGTACGAGGCCTTACCATGTGGGGACCTGACTCTGGCGTATCTCCCAGGGGCCTCAGCTGCCTCCCACCAGCCTCCCCCTCCTCGCCCATGGGACCTGGCCTCCGCCCTCAGACACCCCAGAACTTAAGAGCACCCAGGAAGAACGTGTATGGGACACTTGCTCGTAGCTTTCCTCTAGAATTCCGCATTAAAAACGGCCCCACAAGCTGAGGGATCAATCCCCACTTCACCTCAGACAGTGCTCAGGTTGGGGCAGGGGGTGGGACCTCTGTTTGGGGCCTTGACTGCCCTGCCCCTCACTGCATTCATCCCAGGGAGACAGCAGCAGGTGGGAGCCCACGGCCCCGCTGCTCCATCCTCTGGCCTGCCGGCAGCCAGGGCCCACACCGTGGGCCACACCCGCAGGCTGAGCTCCTCGGCAGCTTCTGAGGACGAAGCTGAGAAAGGCACCTCACCCAGCCGCCCCTGACCTGCCACCTCGCGTTGCCCATCCAGGGCTTCCCGTGCTCCTCTCAGAGCCGGGCACTTCCTGCGGGCTGGCCTGTCAGCCCCTCCTGCGGGGACGGGGTCTCCCAGGCTGTGCCAGGTGAGCCCACCAGCGAGGGCCGCAGGCGGAGCACAGACCAGCCCGCAGGCTTCAGACCGGTGCCTGCCCCTCCCCAGGGATGAACAGGCTCAGGGGGGCGGGCTTTCCATGCAGAGCCTCAGGGTGTCCTTCGGGACCAGGGGGACTGGTGTGGGCTAGCCAGGCCATCCTCCTCTCCCTCTGCCAGGAGGAGGCCGGGGGTCCAGCTCACCCCCGGGGCACGGAGCACCTCTGAGCCGCAGGCCTGCCTGGTGGCCGCACAGGGCTGGCTGTGGGCAGGCTGCTGCCTCCTCCTGCGGAGAACCCCCGGGTCCTGCAGCTCTGGCACGGCTCCACAGCAGGGCTGGGGGCAGGTTTCTGGAGGCCCCGGTGCCAGGGGCCAGCAGGTTCCTCCCAGCTGGGGGAGCGCGTGTGTGCACAGGGGGTGTTCACACGTGGGGGAGAGAAGAGATGAGTGTCGGGATGTCTGTTGGTGGGAAGGAAGTGGAACATGCCATGGACACAGACCATCTTCACCTGAACCAAAGCATGGCTTCAGGCTTGCCTGTCCCGGCTCCGCTGGCTCTGAGGCAGGACCAGGAACAGGAGCGGGGAAGGCGGAGGGTGTGCCCTCGGGGCCTGGGCCGAGGCTCCAGCTGAGCGAGGGCTGAGAAGAGGCACCGCCATGGTCTGGCTGGGGCGGAGGTGCCAGGAGGGGCCAGACGCCTCTCAGTTGGGCCCCGGGGCTCCTGCTCCCAGCACCTACCTGTACCACGGTGGGTGGGTGCTGAAGGCCTGGAGTCATGGGTGGCAGGGTCCTGCAGCAGGGCACTCATCCGGTGCCCCCTCGGGGTCCGGGCCCAGAGCCCACCTCGCCTGCAGCTCCAAGCGCCATGCTGAGGAGGACCTGAAAGGAGAGGGCAGTGGGAGGCCGGCAGACCCAGCCCCAGGCAGATTCCAGGGCCCCAGGAGGCCGGGAAGACAGCTGAGGGGCCACCATGGACCAGCCCCCGACAGGAAGTGACCAGACGGAGGTGGTGGTGAGGGCCGGGGCAGTGTGCGGGCAGGAAGCCATCACACGGCCCCCGAGGACAGAGCCAGGACAGAGCCGAACCCAGGCAGGCCCAGGTTCCTTCGGGGCCGAAGCTCTGGGGACCTGGCGATGTGTGTGGGGGGGGGCTGGACATTGAGGTGAATGAAGGGTCTGACCGGAGGAGGATGGGACTGGTGGCTTTGGGTCACCCCTCGGCCCTCCTGGGGGACTGTAGGTGCAGCAGGTGATAGTGTCAGCCATCCCCTCCGTTCACCCTGTGGGCCTGGGCTTCGGGTGGCCAGTGCGAAGGTTCCCAGCAGACCGTGGATGTGGGATTGAGGAGAGGGTGGTGCTGTAGATAGGGGAGGGGAGTGGAGGGCTTGAGAGTGGCTCAGGGTCATGTGCAGGAGTGGTAGCCAGGGGGTGACTCTGGGCAGGGTGAGGAGGAAGGCAAGGCCACAGAAAGGGAGATGCCAACAGGGGAGAGATTACCAGCCCAGGATCGGGGGAGGTGCCCTGCAGGAAGGTGGGAGAGAAACACCTGAATGGGAGAGAGTTACAGGCAGGAGATAGGGAGGTGCCAGGCAGGGGTAGGAGAGGAGGTGCCAGGCAGGGGGGGGGGGTGCCAGGCAAGATGTGAGGAGGAAGATACCAGGCAGGGGGAAGAGGGAAGATGCCAGGCAGGGGGAAGAGGGAAGATGCCAGGCAGGATGTGAGGAGCAAAGATGCCAGGCAAGGGGAGGAGGGGAGGTGCCAGGCAGGGGGAGGAGGGGAGGTACTAGGAGACTGTGATGATGGGAGGTGCCAGGCATGGGGCAGGAGGGAGGTGCCAGGCAGGGGGGAGGATGAGAAGTGCCAGGCAGGATGGGAGGAGAGAAGATGCCAGGCAGGGGGAGGAGGGAAGATGCCAGGCAGGGGGAGGAGGGGAGGTACTAGGAGAATGTGATGATGGGAGGTGCCAGGCATGGGGCAGGAGGGTGGTGCCAGGCAGGGGGGAGGATGAGAAGTGCCAGGCAGGATGGGAGGAGAGAAGATGCCAGGCAGGGGGAGGAGGGGAGGTGCTGACAGGATGGGAAGTGGGAAGATGCCAGGCAGGGAGGAGGAGGGGAGGTGCCAGGCAGAGGTGTAGGGCAGAGGGCAAGAATTGAATGGGAAAGTGCTAGGCAGAGGGGAGGTGACAGGAAGGAGGAGTAGGTGGAGGAGGGAAGGTGCCAGACTGGAGGGAGGGGATTATGGACCAGGCGGGAGGGGAAATGGGGTGGGGGTGGGGGGAGGGGGAGGCATGGAAAGGTATCATGTAGGGAAAGAGGGGTGGTGGTGGGAATTTGGCATCATGGAAGAGGGGCCAGACAGAGGACAGGAGGAAGAGGTACCAGGCTGGGCTGGGGTGCCAGGCAGTGGGCAGGAAGGAAGAATAGGAGTGGGGGAGGCGTCAGGAAAGGGAGGGAGCATCCAGGCAGGGAGAAGGGGGATGCCAGGTAAGGGGAAGGTGCCAGGCAAGGGATAAAGAGGTGGATGCCAGGCAGGGGAAGAGGGATGCCAGCCCTGGGGAAGGGATGCCAGGCAAGCGGGAGGAGAGGGGAAACCAGGCAGGGGGGAGGAAGGATGCCAGGCAGGAGAAGGAGGGGTGATGCCAACAGAGGCAAGGCGGGTACTTCCAGGCAGGGAAGGCGGGCGGGGGCCTGGAGGCCGAGCGGCGTGGGTCGCTCACCTGCTCCCCGGGGACGCTGGGCGCGCGGCCGCCTGCTCCCGCTCAGCGATCGGCTTGGCCGGCGCCTGCGCCGCTGCAGCCCGAGTCGGGGAGGCGCAGGGAGCGTCTGCAAAGAGCCAGGAGCTCAATGATGAGTTAGGGATCGGAGCAGGCGCCGTTGCCCATCTAATCGACCGTGTGGTCCTGGCCTGGGCACAAAGGCGCCTTAGGTCTGCACATGCACTTGGCGCCCACGGGGGCACACGCCACCAGAGCGTTCTATGTGACCTGAGACAGTGTGCACTTCAGGGCCGCACACACACACACACACACACACACACACACACACACACTCGCGCGCGCGCACGCACGCACACATGCACACACGCACACGCGCACACACACATGCACACACGCACACGCACACCTTGGCGGGGAGGGTGTGTGTGTGGAGGGGGTTCCGCCAGGTTCAGGGTCAGGCTCTGATGCCCCCTCCCTCTCCCCAATGTTTAGGAGCTCGCCCACCTGGTCTAATCAGGCCCCGCTCATGCCTCTGCAGGCACTCTGACAGCCCAGGGTTCCGATCACTCCGTGAGCACTCTGAGTACTCAGGTCAACAGAATCATATAGCATTTGTTCTTTTGTGTCTGGCTTATTTCACTTAACATAACACCCCCAAGGTTCACTCGCATTGTAGCCCGTGTCAGGATTTCCTTCCCTGTAACTCTGAGGAAGATCCCCTGCATGTGCAATACAATGTGTACATCCAGACCACACTTTGTTCATCCGTTCACCGTCTGTGGAGGACTGGGCTGCTTCCACCTCTGGCAGCTGTGAGCACCGGTGACGCTGCTACAGCCCTTTAAAAAGACACACATTAACCCCCAGAAACGCCCTCAGCTCAGCCCCAGAAGGTGTTCCGTTCCTCCCAGCCCCATGACACTCGATGCCTTACCCCGCGCGCCTGCTGGTGAGGGGATGTGCGTGCAGTGAGTCCCACTGCCCTTCCCGGGATGCTGGCTGTGGACCAGGGACGCCTGGTGGTGCAGGGAAGAGTGTGGCGGCGGGTATTGTGATGTGGGAAAGCTCGCTGAGTGACCTGGAGGACAGACAGACAGCTGTCTGGATAGTGGGGCGTGGGTGGCTTCCCATGACAGGGGCCCTGGTGCCCCAGGTCAGTGTTGGTGTCCATCCTCTGGGCCAAGAAGAGCTCATTGAGACAGTATCCAGCCTCTTGCCCCCAACCCCTCCCCTCCCACCACCAGCTATTAACTTGGAGGGATAAGCTTCCCAGAATGAGCCCTTCCGATGGGACAGATGGTTAGTTTCAAAAGTGAGCAGAGGTAGCCCTAACTGGTTTGGCTCAGTGGATACAGTGTCAGCCTGTGGACTGAAGGGTCCCAGGTTTGATTCCAGTCAAGGGCATGTACCTTGGTTGTGGACACATCCCCAGTGGAGAGTGTTCAAGAGGCAGCTGATGGATGTTTCTAACTCTCTATCCCTTTCCCTTTCTCTCTGTAAAAAATCAATAAAATATATATATTTTTAAAAGTGAGCAGAGGTGGTTCTGACGTAAGGGTGTGTGTGGTGGGGTCATCAGAGGAGCCCCCAGAGGGAGAGCAGGTAGCGAGGGCACAAGTGGGGGCAGCAGCAGGCAGCAGACCAAGAACAGGCCTAGGCCTGGCCCAGAGGGACAGACAGAGCAGCCGCAGGGGCAGTCCCGCCTCCTCTGACCCTACCTGTGCCCCCCTTCTCCTCCTCCCTCTCAGAGTCTGTAAGGAAACCGCCAGGCAGCCTGCATCAGGGTGAGATTATCAGGGATTAAGCCAAAAGCCCTTCCACTTGACTTCCCAGGTGGGCGGTGGCGTGCCTCTTTCCCAGCACTTACCACCCTGATTGTAAATCACTGTTCCCTTGCCATTATCCCTCAGGACTGCGAGCTCAGCAAGGTGGGACTGGGGCTTCTTGGCCTGCAACCCAGAAGCCAGCACACGCCTGGCACAGAGGCGGGAAGGGTTTGAGGATGCAGAAAGGGGGCCATGGCTGTGGAAGGGGTGGCAGTGCAGCCCAGGAGAGCCGGGGGGCGGGGCTGAGCCAGAGGCTGGGGTACACCAGGCTTGAGATAAAGGGCCGAGACTCAGTCCCAGGTGAGGCCCAAGGCTGTTCATGTGTCACCTCTTGTACAGCAAGAATTGGAACAGCCTGAATGTTCATCAACAGGTGGCAGGTTAACTAAATGGTGTGACAAGCACAATCAGGTGATAAGAGGCAGAATAAACAGATGACATGATCAATACTTCATTCAATGAATGTTACCAAACAATGGCAAAGCTCTCTACACTGACAGAGAAGGATCTCAAAGGTAAGGTGTGTGGAAAAGTGCAAGGTGTGCAGAAGAGCATGTAAGGCATGCTAATGTGTGTGCACGCACTCACACGCATTCACACACACTCACATGCATTCACACACACGCACATGCACTCACACTCACACGCACTCACATGCACTCACACACACACTCACACGCACTCACACGCACTCACACACACTCACACACACTCACATGCATTCACACACACGCACATGCACTCACACACACTCACACGCACTCACACGCACTCACACACACTCACACGCACTCACACACACACGCATTCACACGCACGCACATGCACTCACACTCACACGCACTCACACGCACTCACACGCACTCACAGTCCTCTGGAAAGGTACAAAAGGAACTGGTCACAGAGGCTGCCTCTGGTGAGGGCCTGGAGGATGGAGTTGGGAGGGGTAAGGGATTTGAATTTAGAATATTTTATCCATTCAAAACATAAGTAAAAGTTTACAAAAATCATCTATATCATTATTTCGATTTTCAGTATAGTCTGAGCACCCTCTATGTAAACTCAGACCACAGAGCTATGTGCCTCTGACCATGAACCCAGAGGGACCCTTTGTAATTTCCCATGTTCGTTTTGCCTTCCTTCCTCCAGCCTGTATTCCTGGCAGGCACCACACCGGGCTCTGCGGGGGCAGGGAGGAATGAGCGCTCTCAACCAGACGGGAGCGATTAACACAC